CAGGTCCCCGGCGAGATACGCATGGTATCATGATTGAGAGCCAAAATGTGAGGAGGCCCTGTCCGAAGTAGACGACCGAACAAACGAAGTCGATGAGCGGAAAGGAGGGCCTGCAAAGGTGGTCGACACACTTGCGCGAGCATACAGTCATGGGAAACTGCTGAGTCGTCCGTCCTCGGGAGCTTGGCGATAACTCTATAATGCGACATCGAGCCGCCCTGCAGGTGTCGATGCTGCGCTGACGATAGGAATCCCCAAGTACTGGCCTGAAAGAGCCCCCCAGAGCATACCGGGAAATCCAAGAATGCGAGGGCCACGTGCTTGTCAATGACTTTGTGTTTGAGCACCTTGGACTTGAGAACCTTCCAGGCCTGGGAGCAACTATGGAACCTGCGTGCCAGTTCAGGCCCCATTGAGGCCGACATGTCGTGTTTCGTCCCAAGATGAACATACTCTTGAACCCGATGAAGTGCAACATCACCCAATGTGCGAGTGTGAGTATGAATGATGTTATGTTGCTCGTGTACTAGAACACGTTTGTAATCTTAGACGTCGGACCTCTGAACTGAGACATAAAGGCTGACTTTCCTGGCTTAGCATTGATCTGGAGACCAAGGGGCGTAAAGGCCTCAATGACCACTGCTGCAACAAACGGCGCTTGAAATGAGAGATCACTTGCTTGACCAGCGAAACAGAATAGCGCATCGTCGAAACAGGCGCCGTCCAAGACGTGGCACTGGTGCACTGGAGCTTCCGCGTGCACTCCTCGAGCACGGTATACTGCGTCCAGATCCCAAGGAAGGAAGCGCCACACCGTCACCGTCCCGAATATAGAACCAGGATTGTTCATGCGAATCCGAGAACTGCCCCCGACGAAGAGCGGAAACGCGACACTGCTCCAGGATCGGGATACTACGCCTAATAGATTCGGCCAGCTCATGAGTAGCCTCCGCTGGGAGACCGCGGATCTTCAGCAGGGCTGCCGCTGCTTCGTAGCTGGCGGAGGTGCGAAAAAAACAGCTCACGAACCGATTTGTAGAAAGCCTGCACCGCATCGATGAAAAGCATCATGACTGATTTGTTTTCGGCTTCGGCTGTCTGCTGAAATACCCGAAACTCCAAAGCTGAAAACTCCGTGCCTCCGCCTGGGATACCTCCGAACTGTCTGGCCCCCACTGCTTCCGTGAGGAAGGGCACAGCACTGGCGCGCGTAAGAGCACGAAAGCGTCTGCCGACTTGGGAGGGGCCCAGGATGGACCGATAATTTTTGACGTTCGAGGGGGCCCCGGCCTTGAAGAGACTCCAGTAACACACCGCCCTTCCATTGAATAGGTTCACAAATGCGCGCCGTGCTCTGAACGTACAAAGGGTGGAAATAGCTGCCAAGTAAAATCGCAAACTGCTTCAATACTGCGCCTGGGATGCCGCTGGGCCCTGCCGCCGAGGCTTTGGCGCAGGAAATCGCGTGCTGAGGGGCTGCGAGGGACGGCACGTCCTCTATGTTAATGTCCACATTGTGCGCCGCCGACGCGTCGAGGGTGGGATGAGAGGCCAGAAACCAAAGTAGGTCGGACTCCGGTATGACTGGTGCGGCCTCCTCGTTGCTAAGAGTGCTGAAGCCAGCGATTCGCAACCTCGACGAACGATGTAAGTGGTTTGCCGTCGACGCCGAGGAGGGTGGGGAGAGGGCGAACCGAACGTTTGCGACGAGAGCAGGCCCCCATGGCCTTGAGTTTCGAGAACGCCTCCTTGAAATCCTGCCGAGACCAAGCCGAGGAAACACCTTGAGCGAGTGTAAGAGCGTGCGCACGAGCATCTAGGTTAATGTAATGCGTGACGAAGCGAGTCGCGACCTCGAGGGCGACGACGCGGGCCGCTAAACAGAGGCCCCCCATGCGAACCGAGTAGTTCCAGCACGCCTTAAACCCAGACTGCCCAGAGAAGCCAGGGAGCACCCAATGTATGTCCTCCACGGTGTATCGACCTGCCTGAAGGTGATCAGCACGAGAGCCCCAAATACGTTCCCACAGACGAAAGTAGGTGAGGTATACCGTAGACAGTTTGCAGAAACGTTTCCTGCGAGCCTTGTGTGCATTGTTAAGCTGCGACTGGTCGTCAATGTAAAAACCGAGCTCTAGCAAAGCTGGCCTGCAGATCGCCGCCAGATGTGCGCGGCGACGCTGCCGGCGAGAACTGAGGGTGCCTGGTTCGCGCTCTGACAACTTCCACTGGATGGTGCGAAGCAGGCCCAAGGACCCCTCAACGTTTCGGCCCAGACGTGAAACACCAAAGCCAGCTGCAAGTTCAAGCACGCACATCCAATATGTCGATAGCTGCGTAATTGGGATGTGCGCGCGTCGATCATTTTCAGGGTCTCGGTGGAAACGCAGGGTTGTCTCGGGCTGCGTCCTGAAGAGGACGTCCTCGCAGGAAAAGCTTCTTCCAAATTATAACGAAGATGATCATTGAGCACCTGGCAGTGGGAAGATGGCGAGACTGTAAACGGCACAGCAGGACATTGTAGAAGTAACTGCTTGAAACGTGCTGCGGCTGCGGGATCTCTGAAGCTGGCGGGGTCGCACCTGATCTTGTGCTCTCCCGATGCACGTAAGGCTGGGCGTGCAGTAGGTAATGATACTAGCGCGGCAACCATGAGATGATCCACGATAGAAATGGTCAGATCGACGTCCGTGACGACATTCGGCGAGGTAGCCGACACGCCGAACGAGCAAGTAACGTAGTCGATACGGCGCCCAGACACAAGCCCATGGGATTTCGGAGGGTACCAGGTGGCCGACGGCACGTGAGACTCCAAGAACGTAGAGGGTACCCATTGCCCTGAGTCCTCCAAGAACTGGTGAAAGTATTGGCCTGGAAGGTTCTGCGCCCCGGCCGCAATGGGGCCGACGAACCTGGACAGAGACGAACCGATCCTGGCGTTGGCGTCCAGTAGTGAAGCCAGCTCGACTCCAGGGGTGCGGTGGTCGTGAAGAACTCCCGCTAGATGGGCCCACCAGGCCCGTATCTCGTGCTCCAGTTTCTTGCTGCGTGGTGCGTGCGCGACGAGAACGTCCATAGCGAACGACTCCACGCGAACGGCGACTAGGAGGTAGCGAGGGGCAGCTGCGAGAACACAACAATGCTTGGGAGCAGTGCGGATCCCAGGCACGATTTCAAAGGCAGTGTGTATCCAAAGAGAACACCCACCTGTGTGCTTGCTGTCGGCCTCGGCATGTATGATGTGGTACGGGCGTGCGCTAGAAACTCCAGAGCGAGGGAAGCGTGTCTCAACAGTACCCACAATACATAGTGACTGCTGCTTAAAAGCCGTGCTGAGTTGTTTCATGCGTCCTGAAAGGTAGAGGCCAGACGGACGAGCATGAGAGCGATGCTTGCTGTTGCTTGGGCTGAGAGACAACACGCTGGCTGCTGCAACCCACAACTGCCGAGAATAAGCTGTGGTGGAGGATGGCGCGCCCGCGCTCTCTCGAACCTCAGCTCCAGCACGATCCCGAGCAGAGAAACGCAGAAGATGAAACAAGGCGGAGGCCTTGTCCGTTGCTGTCTCTACAAAAGCTGGCATGCACTCGTCACCCGTAGGTGGATACTGCTGCTGGATCCTGGGCGGCTCGAAGCGAAGCCGCAGCCACTGCAGCGCCTGAAGGTCACTGAGGCAAGCGCGCCATCGACGATCTGGGCGAGGTAGACTACCCTTCCCAAGAGAAACCAGTGTGGCAATCGTATATACCATTTCGTTCCAAGCATGGCTGGAATGACCCGGTACGTGCCCCCAACAAAGATTACGAACAAAATGCGAGGTCACTTTAGCCGCGCTGTCTAACTCCACACGCATGTAAGACAACGTCCTTCCCAAGGCCCCTCCTCGAGCAACTCGTAGGGCCTCCTTGTTGTCGCAATGGGCAGTAAGAGAACACTCGTGAGTTAGGCTGGCGTAGTCGGACTGTAGGAACCACGCGAGGGCCCACTGAGCACCTTGAAGTTCAGCAGCAAGAGACCCCAGTACTGTAGACACCTCAGCGTCCACGTAGTGGCCCTCGAAGCCCAAGAAGGCCATGTTCCCAAAGGAGTCCTCCAAGAAGACCGCGAAGGCCCATGAAGGCCTACCCTTAGTGGAGCCTCCCGAACCGTCCGTATAGATGTGGACAGTAGTGACGCCCCCCAGACATGAAACATCCAGTAGGTGCGGGAGGGCATTGATGGTGGCGGTGCGCCAGTATTTGGCATGGGCCCAATGGGCCTTGTTGAGAGGACGTTCCCAGCGAGTAAACAAACATTGAGAACCCCAAGTAGCGCTTGGCATTGGACTGAACCGACAACCTCGAACCCAAGGGACCGTGGTTGCGGAGCAGGGTCGTCTATCACCACTCTTTCAGACTGCAAAGTATTGCCCGAACACCCTGAATGATCAACAGGAGGCTGGGAGGTGTTTTGAGATCCCGACGAACCTTCAGACTGACCTCCATGCGTACAAGATGCTCGGGTCAGCGAGAACTCGCTGGCACTGCTGCCGCCTCGAAGGAGGTCTCCAACACATCGCCCTCGGCCTCGTGGGCGTCCTGCATCCTGGGGTGTTCATCTCCTCCTCGGCGTCGAACGCCAGGCACTGACTCTTGTGGGGCGGCTCGCCGCCCGTGTCCTCCTCGATCTGCCCGTCCTGAGGCCCGCTGGGCTTCGATGGTAGGCGTAGCTTCTGCTGACCAGGTTGGCGGGCAGCCTTCTCGAGCTGGTTGCGCGCCTGCGAAACCTTGCCCGCGATGGGGCGGATCACTCCGCCTTTGCCGATGTGTGAAACTGGAACCATTGTGGTTGCCGATGGTGTCGCAGGCTGTGCTGGGCCCGAAGGCGGTGCCACGGATGGGGAAGGTGACGACTGCTGCTGGATGACGAGCTGACTGAGCGACTGCTGCAGCGAGACCACGGTGTGCTGCAGGGCCGAGAGGGACGATGTCAACGTGACCTGGCCCGCCTGCAGCTCTGCGATGACCTGCGGCACTGCTGGACCCGAAGGCGGCATCGAAGGCGGCGGCGCCGCCTGCGTGCCCGACGCGTGCGGGGACTCCGACGCGGCCTTCAAAGAGGGAGCGAAAGCAATGGAGGAGGAGGATGCGAGGAACCGCTCACCAACCTTCGGGCCCGTGGTGCGGAAGGCGTCCGTCACTGGGGAGCTGGCGCAGCCCCCTGAGGACGAGTCGAACGGACGGTTCGGCCAGGCTGAGTCCCAGATTGCCAACGCCAGCGAGGATGAGCGACAATACCGCCACAACGACCAGGACGACAACCAGCCTCGGCGTCACGACCAGCACGCCAGCCACGCGTCTACGCAACACGGGTCAGCCACAAGATGGACGACGACACCCAGCCGCACCAGAGCGACCGATGGAAAGCCCCCGGAGGGAATGCAGATCTTTGTGAAGACGTTGAGTGGGAAGACCATCGCGCTCAACGTGGCGGCCAGCTACACAATCGCGGACGTTAAGGCCATCATACAGGAAGCCGAGGACGTCACACAGGACCACCAGCGCCTTATTTACGGCAGTTCGCAGCTGGAGGACAGCCGCACACTTGCGGACTACAGTATCCATAAGTACGCCACTATGCACTTGGTACTTCGACTACGCGGTGGAGGCCCAGAAGCCCTACTTACCGCCATGTTCTCCTGTCAGCACATTGCGTGCCGTCTCTTCGGGGCTTCGGCTCCTGGCGCGGGCAGATGCCCATCCTGCAACATGGGACGGCAATTGCAGGTTCCAGTACCGACATCACCTGGACACGCAGAAGGCGCTGGACCCCCACGTGACGCGACGGCACCCCCGCCGGGTCACCGAATCACCGACGCCCACGAGACGCCGGGCACGAGTGCCTATGCGAGCACGCCTGTGGAGTCGGAGCCATGCCCGGCTCAAGGGGCGATGGACGCGGAGGAGGGTGACACCGGCCTCTCCCAGGGCATGGCGGCCACACACATCGCAGCAGGCGCCCCTGCTTCTCCTCCTGGCCTCGGGGAGCCGCAGATGCTGGACGCGATGCTGATCAAGCTGCTTGAAGACCACATCGCACTCCACGCGGACAATATTCAGGCTGGACGGGCTGTGGCCAGCACGATTCGACGTTGGGATCCAAGAACACTCCTCCGCTCTATGGAGGAGGTACTGGCGGGGTTGCGTATGCTGGGTTTCAATGATGCCAGTTCTCTACCTTGGGAGCGGCTCGGCCTCTGCTGGGAGGAGGGTCCGATGCCAGACGAAACTCTGGTGGAATCTCGGACGCGCCTGTCCTGCCAAATTCTACACGCGGTGGCCGCAAAGCACGGCGACCGATCGGTCGCACTGAAATGCACCGAACTGGCAAGTACTTTGACGGAGGATGGCCGACGGTGTCTGAGCATGCTGCCGGCTCTCCGAAGGACCAGGCGGCGGCGCGCTAAGGACACGGTCCCACGGTACCACGAGGTGGAGAAGCTCTTCCTACAATATCTACAGCGCGAGTTCGACGAGGTCTCTGGGAAGATGGTGCTCTGTCAGATGTCCAACCTGCAGGGGCTTGACCTCAGGGACATGACATGCCCGTTGCTCACCGCTCGCCTCTTGCATGAGAAAGCGGGCAAAGACGCCGCCTCGGCAGCGCCAGCCTTCCTGGACACTGGCGCACGCCATTGGCTCGCTTGGGCATCGGACGATCGATCTTGCATGGGCCGCTGGCTCGCTACGCTGCGGCTGATCAGAGACACCACGCCGGCCGCCCAACTATCCTTGCTGACGGTTCGGCCGGTCCTCCCAGGCGGTTTGTCGCCGACGGAGATCTTGGATTTCTGGTCCCCAACATTGCTGCAAGGGGAGGGCGGTAAGCGAGCTGAATCAATCGTTCTCCTCGAGCCGCCGGTCAGGGTCCTAATCGACGGGGAGCTCGGCCCGCGGGTGGCTGACCAACACCTCGCCATGATCACGTTTGGACAACTCAGGGATACGACTCCCACTCCAGTCGTTGTCAACTGGACGGGCAATGCCCCCACGAGTCTGACCTCGGAGGCAGCCATCCTCGACTACCCCGTGGACGTGGAGGACAAAATCTTAGAAATGCTACAGAACTTTCAGTCTCCAATTGTCGTCAACTGGAGTCGCTCCATGGCCAGCCCGAGCGGTCGGGAGGACCGACGTGTTCGACGTGTTCTTTATGGTTACCACGGTACTGCCCCAGCGGTTATCGTAACAGCGCTCGAGGCCACGATGCTGATTCGAGCACTTCGGGCTTGCTTAGGGCAAATACCAGGTCTCGCAGCTGGTCACACGCTTATGATGCATGACCCCGGCGCTCTTCCCATCGACTATACTGAGCCTGAGGCCATCGCGGCACACCCCGACTATTGGGACCAGCTGATCTTCCTCACGACGCGCAGGGGCGTGCTCATCACATCGTCATCGCGGACGGCATGGGAGAGACTGCTCACCACCCAAGCCGAGGCGCAACAACAGACACGCATACTCAAGCTGTCTTGGAAATTGAGCACTCGGGGCGGCAGACCCTGGGTGATCCCCCAGGTCCTCTCGCAGACTACGGCGGCGACGCTGACAGGTAACTGGGGAGATCTACCAGGACCAGCGCGGTGCTCTATCCATGTCCAGATAAAAGGGGACACCGGCACTGACCCTACCTCCATCCTCGACCTTCTACTCCAGAAGATCCGCGCCTGCACAGGGGGCATCTGGTCTGCTACGGACCTCGGAGTTCACCCACGACCAGGGCAGATTGCCCCTGTGGCAGGGGCCCGCGGAGAATGGGATGGAGGCTTCATTGTGGAGGCGGCTACCCCGGCCCAGACCAAGGCAATCGCGCTGCTGCTCAATGGCATGTGTTTCGCGGGGGCCGCGGGGGCCCGCCGGTTGGCCATTAACGTGAATCATGACTATGCCGTGAGGGGGAGGGAAAGAGGCCCGGGAAACGGGAGCCGGAGGGGGTGACTGGCCTACCGTCCTCCGGCCCACGGGGCCAGACACGACCGGGGCAGCTTGCGTGGGTGCAGGGGTTGCCCCCGCCGCCGCCGCAGGTCGAATTTTTCTGCATGACGTTTCTGACCGAATTCGAGACGACGGTTCCGGGGGCGGCGCTGCCTCGCTCTGCAGCGCCTCGGGGAGTTCCAGTTCCTTGCCCAGCGGTGCGGGGGCCAACTCGGCCTCCTGGACGCGACGTCAATCCCATAGCGATCAGATCACTGGCGCGACCGACCTTATCTTCTTCATGTTCTTCCTCCTGTTCTTCAACTTCATCTTCGCCTTCTCCACCTAGCACTCGCTCACAGCATCCAGCACTCCGACCTCCAGCAGCTCAGCACTCTGACCTTCAGCATCCATTATTCGACCGCTCACTTCCACCTCCACCCATCGACTTCCAGCCTCTGCCATTGCAGCACTCCAGCCTCCAGCCGCCAGCGGCCGACCTTCCACCGTCACCTCCCCCTATCGACGTCCAACTTCCACCAGCCCAGCACTCCGACCTCCAGCTCAGCACCCCGACCTCCAGCTGGCAGCATCCGCATCCATCATTCCAACATCCACCAGCTCAGCACCCCGGCCTCCAGCACCCAGCATCCCACCGCCCACTTCCACCTCCACCCATCGACCTCCAACCTCCACCAGCCCAACACATCGGCACTCGGCTTCCAACAACCGACTTTCCACTTCGACCTCCACCTGCGGACCTCCAGCCTCCACCAGTTCCACACCCTGGCCTGCAGCCTCCAGCAGGCGCCCATCCACCTCCACCTCCCCCTTCTGCCGTCCAACCTCCACCGAGCTTGCGCTCGACACTGCGCTCATCAGCATCCAACCATCGGACCTTGGATGTATGGGGCCTGGCAGGACGGACAGCGGCAGTACCATCGCGCTCAAGCACACCGTCCTCAGCCCAACCGACAGCGCCAGCTACGCTGGCAGGAGCACCGACATTGTCCACAGCGCCTCAATCTCCAATGCGACGACGGGTACCACAGTGTCCATCATGCCGGGTATCGTCGAATCCACGGACAGCCGAGCCGGCACATTCGTCAGCGGCACAGTTTCCAACGAGAGGTTCACCAGCAGTACCAGGAACAGCAGCATCGCATCAACCAGCGACAATATCCCCACAACGATGGGAACTGTCAGCTACATTAACGGATGTCCCACGGCTCTCGACATTCTCGCTGATTTCAGCACGATGGGAACCAGCCTCAGCCGCAACAGCACTAACGCAACCGGTTGCCACACAAGACCGCATACAAGCGGAGGCAGCATCACAACGGGCAACGACTTCCCGAGCACCAACAGCCCCAGTGGCGGCTCCACGACGACGGGCGCCGGCATCACCGGTAACAGCAGCCCTTTTGCATCCAGCAGAACCACCCGCGCATCCTGCAGCGTCAGAGTTTCCAGCGCCTCGAGTGCCACCAGCACCAGCAGCGCCGCCATTGCATCCACCATCGCTCCCAGTAGCATCCCCTTCTCCAGCACCATGTGACCCCGCGGGACCGTCGACAGCAGCCCCAACTTACCCGAACACACCACCAACCTCGCCAGATCCACCGACAGGGATGCCCACGCTCCCCGCAGAGTCACAGGGCTCAGTAAAACGGGAATCGGCAGTATCACCCATGTCTACAGGCTCTTCCGTCGGACCCCAGCGGATTACATCAGGTTCGACACCTGCTCGCACTTCTGCAGCGCGTCCACCTGCATTCACAGTGGCATACGCCGACAATTACCGTGGGGCGACATGGAACGCTCAGGGTTTATTTGCGTACGAGCCAGAGAAACAACATCCGAAATGCACATACCTGCGACGACTGCTTTCTCATCACGACTTCGTGGGTGTCCAGGAAACGCACAGCACGACAGCCACAACAGCTGCAGCACAGACACTGGATGGGTGCACTGCTCTTTGGTCACATGGCTCCCGGCGGCAAGGGGGGATCGGCCTGTTGGTGCAGGACACCTTCCTGAAACGATTTACGACGATACGACCGGAGGACTGGGTGGAGGCGGTGCCAGGTCGATTGGCTGTTCTACACCTGTGCGGCCCTGCGGGCGCGCTTGCCATCGCTACGGTGCATGCGCCCTCAGGCCGCCGTGCCCGCGGCGCGCGGGGCCGTCTTCGACGCTGTCTTCGCCAGGCAATGCAGGCCAAGCCACACTCTCTGTGGATCGCCATGGGCGACTTCAACTGGGTCACCAAAGACACGGACCGCACCGGGGAGGGAGCGAACACCACAGGACATCGAGATACGGCCGAGGAGCGCGACTGGCGAGACAGCGTGGCGGGACCTGGCAAACTGATGGAACTGGCCCAAACCAAGCATACTTTTCAGCCAGGGGGGGTGCAATCGAGACTGGACAGGATCTACTCCAGTCATCATACTGCTGATTTCTTCGATGGCACATTCTGGGCGTCCGCTTGGCCTTGGCCCCGCCCGGATGAAAATGGCTGGGCGGTTTCCAATCATCGCCCGGTGTCTTTCGGACATAGTCGGCCAGATACTCAACAGCGTCCGCCCAATCTCCACGAAAGATATATCAAGCATCCGGACTTCGCTCGGCGGGCTTCCAGGGCCTACCACGACCACATCAAGCAGCAGGCACGGGCAGGGGTTACGCTTGATCCCATGCACAGGCTGTGTGCCCTCAAGCAGGCGATGTTCACGGTAGCGAACAACATGATGGAGTCTAATGGCGGCCAGGCTTTCCTCGACCATCTGGGCGCACCCCCGACAGCTGCCACTGCATTTTCGATTATTGCTGATATCCGTAGTGGGATCTTGTCTTCTCCCCGAAGCATCCGGCGCAGACTGCCCAACGAATGGCTTGCGTCAGTGGCACCGCCAAACGTTTCTGCGACTGACATTCTCCAGAATCTCAAGGACGTCGCAATGAGGTTAACCAGACATGAGATCCTATACGACATGCGATCGTTACAACAGGCGGGAAGCCAGGAGCGTGGGGACTTGGACGAACAACACCGATGTGTGCAGCAGAACTCCATCAATCGGCGACTGGCCCGGCTTGCACGACGAACCGAAAACATGGGGATACATTTTCTGGAGGACGCTGGCGGCGACATTCACACTGACGACGGCGTGATCGCTCAACAGCTGGCCGCCCACTGGCGACGGGTCTTTGGCCACAAGCCCGTGGACGAAACGAAGCTGGTCACATGGGCGGCTCTGGCCACACACGCGGGGGCTCAACGTCTGACGGTCCCTGCAAGTCAATGGCGCCTACGCTCCAAGGACATCCAGAAGTCCCTGCGCATCGCTGGCAACTGCAGGCCAGGGCCAGACGGCGTGCCATTTCAGGCGTGGCGATGCCTGGGCCCTCTAGGCGTTCACGCTCTTTGGGAGGCCGGTCGCCTGATGGAGGGTGGGCTGCAGGACGGGGATGCGGCGCACGATGGATTCAACGCGTCCCTCTTGTGTTGTCTCCCTAAGAAACCGACCAGGACCAGCGAGGCTGGGGAGCAGATCTACAAGCCAGAAGGGACACGTCCCCTCTCCATCACAAACACTGACAACCGCATTATCGCGAACGCTTACCGTTTGCGGTGGGAGCCTGTGGTGGGCCCTGGTATTGCGTCTTCACAAAGAGGATTCATTCAAGGGAGATCGATGCTGTCGAATGTTGTGGACGTGGAGCACCATGCGATGCTGGCCGCCACAGAGGAACAGGATGCCGCGATCGTCCTGTTCGACTTCACGGCGGCCTTCCCATCAGTATCGAGGACGTACATCATGGAGATGGCCCGCGCAGCCGGCTTCCCGTCTATGGCCATGGGCGTCCTCGCGGCGCTCTACCACAAAACAGTTGGCGTTCTACTCCTGCACGGCCGGCTGTACGAAGACGTCGCCTTGGAAGCGGGTATCCGACAGGGATGCCCATTGTCGCCGCTGCTTTTCGCGCTGGCTTCCGACAGCCTCCTACGTATTCTCGAGCTGCGACACCCCTCAGCGACAACCAGGGCATTTGCTGACGACACTGCGATGGTCTTACGCTCGTGGGCCCGCGACCACAAACAGGTGTTCGCTACCTTCAGGGTTTTCGAGACGCTTTCCAACCTGTCGCTGAACTTGGCCAAGACGGTCGTCATCCCGCTATGGGACGCGGATGTGGCGCAACTGCAGCGGGACACGGAGGGAAATCCCTCTTCAGTACAAATCTCTTGGGATACGACGGGCAAATATCTTGGCTTCTACATCGGGCCAGGGAAAGGCGCCAAATCCTGGAGCAAACCATCGGACAAATATATGGAGCGGTTACAACAATGGCAATGGAGCGAACTGGGGCTTCACTTGGCTATGATGACCTATAATGTGTTTGTCTTGCCGGTGCTCCTATTTGTTGCGCAACTCGAAGCACCTCCACAGGCTGTCTTGGAAATGGAAGCGGCCGCCGTCCGCAAGGTGGCGCCTGGGCCAGGATGGTGGTGCACGCCAGCCGACATGCAGCACGGTTCGGAGTTGGGTCTCTCAGCGCGGATGCGCCACTTGCGCGCCTCTTGCCAAGCTGCCATGCTCCGGACACACGCGTGGGAAGCCCGCAGCACAGGAGGCATACCCTGGAACGAATTGACACGTCAGCTGACAGAGGCGCGGGCTCGCGCCGATCATCTGACTTTGCGAGGATGCTGCCTTCCATGGTTCGCTCAACACACTCCGACTGTGGTTACCAAATTGGTTGATGCGCAGGCGGCCGAGGGAGTCCACATTCATGCCGCCAGATCAGCCCTGGGAGGGGCTATTGTCGGGCCGCTCACACGTCCGGCGGACCAGCGCTTCAAGAAGGGCACGCAGAGATGGATGACCGAGCGCTTGGTCGCGCAAGACAAATACTGCGTGGAACGGCGCCTGCGCGCACGGCTTGCTCGGTGGCGGCTCCCCGACTACCCCGGGAGGTCGGCGCGGCGGGCGGTGCGCCAATTGGTCCGCTTGCGCCGGCTGGTGCCGCCTAGGCTCTGTGCAGCGACATTGAGCACTATCTTCAACAGATGGACAACGGACCGGCGCATGCGCAGCCTACGAGACAACCAGCGCCCGTGCATTCTAGGGTGCAGCACAACGGCTTGTGATTCTGTTGAACATTACTTTCATTGCCCTGTGTGGCTCGATTGGCAGCGATCGCGCCTCGGGCACTCCGTCGCTCATCACCGCCTGGCTCACGCGGTCTTGGGCGTTGACATGGACGACAAAGCTCTCTGTCTGCAAGCAGTTTCTACATATGTGCTATATCGAACAGTCAACCACATCCGACACCGTAGGTTTCGGGGCGCGCAGGCCCGTTCAGCATACATCAAGCAGTTCATGAACCAACTTGTGCACGAGGCCTGTCGGGGGCACGCTCGGCTCCGCCAGGTATGTCAAGGCAGCGACAGCGCCCGCCCATTACGACGACCACGCGTCGATGCGGCTGCCGCGCGGACAGCCCGCCAGGTCCGACGACGATTGCAATGACACCTCCTCCCCGCCTTTCCTCCCCTCGTGTCCCCCACTCGACGCCCTGCCCGACGCCCTACCCGACGCTCTACCCGACGCCGTTCCCCATGCCCTCCCCGGCGCCCTCCCCGACGCCCGTCCCGACGACGCCCTGCCCGACGCCCTCCCCGACGCCCTACCCGACGCTTTACCCCACGCCCGCCCCAGCGCCCTACCCCACGCCCTACCTGACGCCCTTCCCTACAGCGGCACGACGACGAACAGTGCGACGGCCACCGGCGCCTACGCCAGCACCAACGCCAGCACCGGCGACAGCTTCAACGCCAGCACCGACGCCGGCAGCAAGCCGGCACCTACGCCGGCACTGACGCCAGCACCGACGCCAGCATGCGCATACGCTGGCACCGCCGCCAGCGCCTGCACCAGCGGCAACGCCGGCGCCGGCACCGATGCCAACACGAGCGCCGGCGCATGCGGTGGCACCAACGCCCGTGCCTACACCAGCATCGATGGCAGCACCGACGCCAGCACCATTGTTGGCGTCTCCACCTGCGCCGGCGCCAGCATCGACGCCAGCATCAACGTCGGCGACTACTCCAGCACCAACGCCAGCGCCTACACCAGCCCCGACGCCAGCACCGACGCCAGCTCCGACGCCAGCACCATCGCCGGCGCCTTCGGCTGCGCAGACGCCAGCACTGACACCAGCACCCACGCTGGTGCCTGTGCCTTCACCGACGCCAACGCCTACATCAGCACCGACGCCAGCACCGACGGCAACACCAGCGCCGACGCCTATCCCGATACCAATGCCAGCGCCTACACATGCATTCGACCCGCGGTCGGAAAAAAACCTGCTCCAGCATCTTATCCCACTCCATGGGATAACGAGTCCGTCACTCACCACATCTATTATCCCCAGCTCCGACGTGCAGCTCCGACGCCAGCCCCACCGCGGGCGCCTACGCCAGCGCAGACGCCAGCACCAACACCAGCACCCACGTTTGTGCCTATGCCTTCACCGACGCCCTCGCCTACACCAGCACCGACGCCAGCACCGACGCCAGCACCAACGCTATTGTCACCTTGTCTCCAAATATATCCAACAGCTCCTGCATGTCAGTGCCCCCTGCAAGGAGAGGCAATATCTGTCGTGTTACTGATAGGCTGAATGGGAACTGGCGTGGGGAACTGTGCACTGCTGTCCCGGCCGCGTGGCCGATAGAAGATGGCGTACCGACGCCAGCATCAACATCTGCGTCGACGCCGGCGCCAACGCAGGAGCCTACACCAGCGACAACGCCAGCACCGCCGCCTGCACGAGCACCAGCCCCCACAACAACGCCGACGCCAGCGCCGACACCAGTTCCGACACCAGCATCAACGCTTGCACTGACGCTGGCACCAATTCAAGCGCCTACACCAGCGACAACGACAACACCGACGCCAGCACGGGCAACAGCCCCTACACCAGCTCCGACGCCAACGCCGACACCAGCTCACCGCTGAGCTGGGCGGCTCACCAGTGTCGCAGGAGCGCTCGTTGGCGCTTACGCCGGCACCGACGTCAGCACCGACACCAGCTTCAACGCCTGCGCCGACGCCGGCGCCAACGTAAGCGCCTACAACAGCAACAACGACAGCTCCGACGCCTGCACGAGCACCAACGCCCACCCCAACGCCGTCGCCAGCGCCGACACAAGCGCACCAGTGAGCTACGCGGCTCACTGATGTCCCGGGAGCGCCCCGAGCGACGAACTGGGGCCCGCCGACGAGGGCAACGAGGGCAACGAAGCGACCTTGGAAAGCGTGCGCCCCGTAGAGGCGACGGAGGTGGTGGCAGATAGCCCCAGAATTCGTCCACGACAGGCCAAGGGCCGTGAGTGGCACTTTTGGTCCGCCCCACCGCCTCCCCCTGGGGGCCCCACGCCTCGGGTGGCAGGGACCGCTCCGCTCTCCCCCTCTCCTGCTGCTGCGGCCTCCTCCCTCCCTCCTCTTCCTCTCTCCCCTTTCCCCCCTCGTCCCCCTCCTTCCGCTGTTGCGGCCCCTCCCTCCTTCCTCTTCCCCTCTCCCCCCCCGTTGTCGTCGTCGCCGCCGCCGCCTTCGCCGTCTTCGTCGCCGTCGTCGTTGCCGTCGGGGACGGTCTTGCCTTCCTGGGGCTTGTGGCCCCCTCTGGGGGGGGGGGGCGTCCGAGGGTAGTGATGCTGGGCTCAGTCTCCCCGCCCCTCGCCTCCCGCGTCCTCCTCTTCCTGCACTGGTCGGTCTTGTGAGTGGTTTAATTAAGTCTGCAGGCGGGCCTTGTGCCCAGCCCGGGGCGCCCGCCCACCGAGATGCCTCGGCCCCTCCTTTTTTGCGGGGGTGGACGCCTCTCGTGGCCTCGGCGCGCCGCGGGTATGCTACATACCTAGACGTTCAACTTGATTCCTTGCTTGCTCCTGCGTGTACTGCTCTGGGGTGTTTGGCCCGCCAGTGGAGCCCTGGGCTGTGAGCTGGCGTCCATTCCATTTTTTTTTTTTCTCCTCCGCTTCTCCCTCCTCCTCTTCTCCTCCTCCTCTCCCGCTTCCGCCTCTGAGTTGATAGGATTCCGGGGATATGTTCTATCAGCCATGCTGCCGCATGAGTTTTAACTTAGTTTGCATGGTGAGTCTTCCTTTCTCCTGCCGTTGTGTGAGGCCTCATTGTATTAGTGGTCGATGGGACCATATATGGGGAGTGATGCACACACAGCGCCATGATCCTTTCGTCTTATTCGAGTAAGACGTTTTCTTTTTTCCTCCTCGTGCAAATGGTCCTGCCTCGCTGCACGGATTCCGTGACACATGCATTTTCCTCACTGTGCGAGTCCAGGGTTTTTGTATCGGGCCTGGCAGGCTGTGTGAGGCTGCGTGCGGCTGGCAGTCGGACTGGAGATATGTGGTGCTTTGCGAGTTCAAAAAAAAATCGAATGTCACCGTCTTGATCTCCTCCCTGGCAAGCTCCTCGAAGGTCGTCAGAAGCTCCTGCGCCTGGGTGACCTCCGTGGCTAGGGCTCCCCTCGCCCTTTGTGCGATGGTGAGAGCAATCTCCGCTGCCATCTCGGCCTCTTGCGCTTCCTCGAACCTGCGGGTCACGCGGCTGAGGAAATTGGTCTGGTTGGCGACTCTCTCCTTCGGCAGGAACGCGTACATATGCATGAACTGGAACACTGCGAGCTCCTGGCGCTTGGCCTCGAGCATCGGCGACGGCACCGTCGTGATAGCTTCTTGGGCCTGTATTTGTTGCTCCAGCGCCTGCATGGCTGACTTCATGTGGGCGCGATGAGCTTCTCTGTCCACTGACAGCGCTGGCGGCTCTACCTACGCAGGGTGAGCTCTGGCCTCCGCTAAATTGGCCACTCTTCTTCATCTGAGTGTTGAGCTTCTTCTCCTCGCTCGAGCCAGCAGCGGCGGCGGGGGTCGACTCGCCCTGGCTGGAGCGAGAGTGGGCGCGAGAAGTAGAGCGGCCTCTGTGTCTCGATCCTTGACCCTTGGCGTAGCACTTGGTGCACCAGGCCGTAGACGCAGGATGCGAGGAACCACAAAACGAGCAGAACCACTGCCCTTTGCGTGTCTGCCATGGCGCTGACGACATCCGTTGACTGCTGCGATGAGAAATCAGCGTCTGCCTGGCTGCCGCTAAGCGCAAGACTGTGCGGGCCTGGCTGCGGCGCTCACGAGCACGCCGATGCCAAGCTGGTTCGCGGAGGTGCCGCCGAGCCGTGGCGCTGGCCACGCGTCGGCGGCGGCACGGCCTGCCAGGGGTGGGCACCCGACTGCCCGATTGGCTGGCACGTATGGCGGCCGACCCGCGAGGCTCGTCCCTTACCTGGTAAGGGACTCCCAAAGCCTCGAACCGGGGCGGCGGCTGAGGAGGGAGGAGGGAGGAGGGAGGAGGGGAGGGGGGAGGAGGAGGAGGAGGAGGAGGAGGAGGAGGAGGAGGAGGAGGAGGAGGAGGAGGAGGAGGAGGAGGAGGAGGAGGAGGAGGAGGGAGGACGGGGGAGGGATCTAGGCCGGGGAACTTGCTCGTGGCCTAGGCCCGTCGTGGTCAGGTAGGCCCCTTCGTTCCTCATGTGGCGTTCCTTGTGGCAGCGCGTCTACTGTACGTTCGCTTTTCGCCGACTTCCCGCCTTGCGCGTTCACTCCGCAGTTGCGGACACGCCCTCTGCCAGGGGTGTACGACAAGGAGGTCTGATGAGGTTTTGGTCCTTTTGCACCAACAGGTCACCAGGCATAGCCTGTCTTTTCGAACATATTGCTACGCTACTGTAATGTATGCTCCCAGTCGGCCTGGAGAGATGGTTGCCGAGACGGCCCAGGCTGGCCCACAGAGGTTGCGACGACTACCGACCTGGCCCCAAGACTAGCCCACGACGCTCCCAGGTGCGCCGAGGAGTTGTTTTAAGCGATAAGGGGCCCAAGATGCCGCAAGCACAGCCATGTAATCCAGAAGTGCAGCCCACCAGAACCCCCAAGAGTTTGTCAGAGACCTGGCAGGAGTCTTGGAAGTATGCCTCGGCACTGCGAAGTGTATTGAACCGCGCATGAATGTTCATGGCTCGGGCTGAAGAGAGCCCCAAGACGACCCAATACGACCATAAGAGGACAGGATGGTGGCACAATATTGCCTCAAGGTGGCCTCAACGTGGCCCAAGAGGCAACCGCGATGCCTCAGTAGGTCCCTGGGCGGCCCGCTGCAGCCTTTCAAGACGGGCCGCAACGGCCTAAGATGCCGCCAAGATGACCTTGTATACCTCCGCTGGATGGCTTCCCCAAGGTTCCAAGGCGCCACCCGACTGGCCCCCGACACCCCTCCAAGACTGTTTAGTCCAAACAGGCGAATGCAAAATATGCACGTTTCCCTGATCGTTGCTCCTCGGGGCCGTTTTGGAGGTATTTATGGAACCCTCTTGGGGCGTCTTCGAAGCCTCTGGGGCCGTCTTGAGGCCCTCTTGCGTGCTTTTGAGGCTTCCTCCACGTGTTGGAGCCCCGCTTGAGCCAGCTTAGATTACATCTTGTGCATCTTGGAGGCCACGGAGTGTAAATTTTTGAGGCTCCAGAGGCCCCAGGGCTGCGTTGACGAGCTCCGGCCCCCACCCCCCTCCCCCTCGCGGGCCCCCCGGCCCCCTCCCCCCCCCTTTCGAGATTTTAGACCCCAGAGGAGGGAGAAGGGAGAGGGGAGCAGCCAATCATCTCACACGCCTTCACACCTGACAAGCACCTCCTCCTCCCCATTCGCCTCCGTCCCTCTCTCCATTACTCCCTCCTTCGCTCCTCCTCCTCCTCCTCCTCCTCCTCCTCCTCCTCCTCCTCCTCCTTATGTGCCTTCTTGTTGTCCTCTTAAATCTCACTCCTCTTCCTTCCCCATACCTTCCATCTCCCTCGTCATTCCCCTTCCCATCGACTTCCTCCCTCTTCCCCTTCCTTCCTCACCCGCTTTCTCACTTCCCCTCGCATCACATCGACTCTCTACTGGCCGTCCTCTTCCAGTTCTTCCATACTCACGAGCAGGCAGAGAGCTAGGAAGAGGAGAAAGGTGCAGGAGGAGGAGGAGGAGGAGGAAGAGCAGATGGAGGAGGAGAGGGAGGAGAGGGAGGAGGAGGAGGAGGAGGAGGAGGAGGAGGCCAGGCAACATGGCGCAGAAGAGGGCCTCGCTGCCTGCCATCCTCTTGCTCCTCCGCCTGCCCCACAGGTCAAGACGGTCCTGGAGAGGGGCACCGGCGAGACGAAAGCATCGAAGGGACAGGATCGACGGACGACAACTACTTTGCTTCGGTCCTGCACCGAGGAGCAAGGATCTAGGTTCGACGGTCACGGATCGAGGTTTCCAGAGTCGAGATGGGTGATGACAATGGGGGTGGATATCATGGCGTGCGCCAAGATATCTGCCCAGATTTCATTTGAACACGCCCCCTGCCCCCCCCCCCCCCGTCCGCGCACATGCCTCTGGCCATGATTTGCGAAGCCCGCTCTTGGACGCCCCCATGTTGTGGACTTCCCCGGCAGACGTTTCTGTCTCTTGTCTTGGCCTCTGAGGGCCTCCAGGGACCTCTGCAGCCCTTCGGATCCTTTCCGTGGGCTCCTGGATACGTACTGCTGCCTCTGGGCCCGAGGCGCTCGCCGTCCCGAAAAAATCGAGAGGCGACGGCAGTCGATTCGCCAACCAGGCTTGCCGAAGGAAGCGTTGTCTCGTCCTCAGTTCAACACGATTCCCCGCGACGTGGGCGCCCATTCCCGGCGCAAGTTCTGTGCTACGCTATGCTAGCGCGGTGGTGCCTCACCATGCAGTGCTACGCTGACGGCGTGAAATTGTATGCTGTGTTGTGACACGATAGAGGTATGACATGCTAGACTGAGCTAGGCTATACTTGGATACGTTGTTCCACTGGATGTTGCACATGAGATTTCGTGCGTCGCCGTTCAACGCAACTGAGTGCTGGGTCATGCTATGCTGGAGCGATGCTGTGCCATGACATACGCTGAGGTGCATTGCGGTCGCTGTGTGGATGTCGTTCTTTTTGGTGCCGCTGTTATCAGTTGTGTTGGTCTGCTTTGTTCCCCCTTCAGGTTTGCTAGAGGTTATCTTACTTGCTATGTGTACGAACGCCGTCAGTATTCCCTAGTCAGTTCAGTCCACCGCGACCGCGGCGTTGGATCCCCGCGCAAGCTTGCTCGTGATATGCTATGCTGTCATTCGCCGGGTTGCGTAGGGCCATGCTGCGCGATGCTACGGTCATGTTGTGGTATATCAGGGCATGGTATACTACGCAATGCTATGGCGTGCCGTGACAAGCTTGACTGCAATGCCAAGCCATGATATGTTACGCCTTGCCATGCTATGATGCTCAACGTAGAGAGTGCAATGCCATGATGTGCTCGGCAGTGGTAGGCTGTGTATTGCTATGGGATGCTACGCTTTGTTTTGCATGGAACCTCGTCGTGTTGCACCTCGTTGCGTTGCACTGCGCATGCATGCCGCCAGCAAGCCGGATACGTACCCAGAGCCCGTGTCTTGGGCGTCGCGTAGTAAAGGGGCGAGAAATGGGGGAGCAACGAGGGCTGCAGAAGAGAGGCCTTCTGGGGCCCCTGGAGGGGCCTTTTCAGGCCCCCAGAGGTGGCCCTCGGGGCCCGAGAAGTGCACCCTTCCCCCCCCCCCCCTCCCTCACTTACCGCCCCCCCCCCCCGTCGGGCCCCCCCCTGGCCGCCCTCTCATGGCTGGTCTGCGGGGGGGGGGGGGGTCTGAAACTGCTCGTCGGGGAGGGCTGTGATCCCCTCCCTTCGAAGATGCACTGCGGAGTGCCCCGAGCCCGCGAGTCGAGCTCCTCCCCTCCCTCCTCCTCCTCCTCCCTCCTCCTCCCTCCTCCTCCTCCTCCTCCTCCTCCTCCTCCTCCTCCTCCTCCTCCTCCTCCTCCTCCTCCTCCTCCTCCGCCTCCTCTCCTCCTCTCCTCCTCCTCCTCCTCCTCCTCCTCCTCCTCCTCCTCCTCCTCCTCCTCCTCCGCCCCCCCCCCCCGGGAGTGTACGCCGCTGGCCCGGGGGAGGCAACCCAGAGGCCCCCGAGGACGGGGCCTCCCTCCGAGAGAGCGCCGAGGGTCCGCGCCGGGAGGCAACCCAGAGGCCCCCGAGGACGGGGCCTCCCTCCGAGAGAGCGCCGAGGGTCCGCGCCGGGAGCGCAGAGCGCGGCGCCGGCTGTCTGGGCCCCGGCCCGGCCTGGCCAGGAGGGCCCGCCCTTGGTCGGGAGCGGAAAAGAGGGGGGTGATGATTAGGGGGGGGGGGGGATTTCATGGCGCGGGCCATGATTTTCCTTCAGATTTCATGGCGCCTCTTCTTATTTCATTACGTCCCAGGCCCCCCCGCTGGGCCGCGCACATGCCGCCGGTCCTGATTTGCGCCCCCCCCCTCTCTTGTACACCCCCCTCTTGGCCGCTCCCGACTTGGAGGCCGCGTGCAGGCCAGCCACAACTGGGGGAGCTGTGGTCCTTGCCCCCCTGGGGGGCCCCTCGATTTCGACACCCCGCTCGGGAGATCGTCGACGCGATGGTTTCCCCCAGGGGGTAAGGACCACAGCTCCCCCAGTCATGGCTGGTCGGGCGCACCCATCGGTCGTTGAAAGTAGTTATGGTAGCCCCCGCAAGTGCGGACAAGAGTGGGGGGGCGGGGGTCGCCGGCGGTTCACGAGGTTCGAACGAAAATTTAAAGAGGCCCGCCGCAGGCGCCGCTTCTTTTGTGGCGTACGCAGCGAGGCCGGCGCAGGCGCATGTTGATGATATAAAACAACAATGTCGGTGGGTCGCGGGTGGGTCGCGGGTGGGTCGCAGGTGGGTCGCGGGTGGGTCGTGGGTGGGTCGCGTGGTGGGTCGCGGGCGGGTCGCGGGTGGGTCGCGTGGTGGGTCGCGGGCAGGACAACGAGAACAATGACAACAACAACAACAACACCAACAACAACAAGCATAATCTTCACCGCGGATCCCCACTTCAGCCACGCACCCAGGGACAATGTAAGACCGTTCGGCCCCTCACTCTGCTTTTTGGGGTCCCTCAGGGAAGGAAAAGGTACCTATACCTCTACCCTTCGCCAGTTTTCCCCTTTTTGGGGCTCCTGGGAGGCCCTCGCCGCCACTGCTGGAGTCGCCTCGAAATTCTGGTCAGAACGCACCCGGGGAGAGGTCTGGGGAGTAGCGGTGTCGGTACCTTTCGGTCTCCCCTGTCCCAGATTCCAATCTACTTTAAGCGCCTTCCTACTTCAATGACCGATTGGCTTCATCTTTTCCGTCCTCTTTCGAGGGCGGGCAGACACCCAATCTTCATTTTCAACGCCGTCCTACTTCATGTTTCTCCCTGCTTCTCCTGGCCGATGGGTAATGTGGGTCGATAAATGGAAGGGCAGCGAGGGCTGCAGAAAAGACGTCCTTTAGGGCCCACAGGGGGCCCTTTCGGGTCCGAGCAGTATCTTTTCCTCCCCCCCATTTATCGCCCCCCATGGAGCGTTGCCCACTGCTCACTGGCCAGGGCTCGTTTCGAATCCTCCGATTCGATTCGAATCGACTTCGATGGCTTCCGAGTCCGATTCCATTCGACTTGGGATTCCGTTTTGGGTTCATATTCATTATTGGAAGCATGCTAGCTTGCCGATTTCAGCCGATTCGGCATTCTCCGACTCAGCTGCCGACTTCCGCCGATCCGGTTCATGTCGATCGCCGATCCGACTTATCGATTTGATCCTGTGCTCTCTTGACCTGGTCAATGCAAACGGGGGTCATTCAGAGCGCCGGATTGTGCAGCGTCTTGCAAAGCCAGGGCTGCATTGACATGGGCTTGCGTGCTGGATCTTGCAGGCTCTTGCAGGATCCCGCGGAGCCCGACTGACCTGGGTTCGCACTGACCTGGGCCAGGGGCTCCCCGATGCCCACCGGCCCTGGGGACGGCATTGGCTTGCCTGGCGCCTGCATCGGCGCACCTGGGCGGGCGGCTCCCGCGCCTCCCCCGCAGGAGACCCGGATCTCCCTGAAGGTCACAGATAGGAACTGCGGGCCCCAAGAGTATACACCACCACGTCGATTCCCCTTCCCTCCTCTACCCTCTTCTTCCTCGCCTCTGTCCTGGGAGAGGCAGGGGGTCAGGGAGGTGGTGGTGGTGTGTGTGGGCCCCGAAGGAACCTCCGGACTTTGCAGGAGCACGTCGGCCTCGAGCACACGGTCGGCGCCGCAGACTTCGGGTGCATCTCGCCCGTAGTCTCGGCGGCCCTGCAGAACATGACAGAGGGCGAGCGCGCCACGGTGGCTTTGCGCAGATTCGGTGTTGATGGGCAAATTTTCCTCCACCGCTACCATATGTAGGACTGGGGAGAAGGGAGGATGAGGAGGTCCTCCTCCTCCTCCTCCTCCTCCTCCTGCCTATCGTAGTGGTGGTGGAAAATGGGCCCATCAGGTGTGGGTGACAAAGTCATCGACAACAAGCACAGCGGCGCGAGCATGCAGCTTCACCTCCACAGGATCTACCGGGTCATCGACATATCGCCACTGCAGGACGGGTCGCTGGTGAAGAGGGTGCTCAGGGAGGGCTCGGGCCCGGAGGCCGTCGACACGAGCCGTGTGACGCTGACCGTGACCGCGCCTGCTTTCCAGCAGGATGTAGAGTTCCGGGTCGGCGACGGGGAGGCGTCTGGGGATGCCCGAGGTGTCTCCCTGGCCCAAGGTGCCCCCCCCCCCAGCCTTCTTCGTGCCGCCCCGGGGCCCATGTTCGCCCCCCTCGGGGCCTCGTGAGGAATGCTCTGGACCCAGACACCCGACGTCATGAATGATTTTTGTTCATGACGTCGACCCCCGGGGGTCTCGACCCATTCCCTGGAACCGGTTTCTCTTCCTGAGTCGTTTTTGGACGGTCCCGCGGCCCGGGAGGGGCCCCCAGAGGCCGGAAACAGGGAAGAGCTTGCGCCGTGATTTTTCCATGCCTCGAGGGGGTCCGGGGAGGCCGTCTGTGGGCCCAGCTCCTGGACAGGCTGGGGGCGCCCTGGGCCGGGACCGCCTCTGGCCGCGCCCGGAGGCCTGCGACGGGCTGGAGCTCGCCGTGGTTGGCATGCGGGTGGGGGAGGCCTGCGCCGTGGTGACGCGGCTGCCGGCCGCGTACCTCGCCGCCGCCGCAGGGGCGGCCGCGCGCTCCGCCTCGGCCGCGCTGCGCCCCGAGGCGCTGAGGCCCGGGGAGGACTTGCCAGCTTGAGGCGCACCCAGGGATCCCACGCATTGAGAAGGTCAAGACGGAGGTTTGTCGCATTTTTCGGCCCCGAGGGGCCCTCGCCGGGCCCCGGGACCGTCAGAAAACGGCTCAGGATGGAAGATTGGTCCTGGGGAAGGGGTCGAGACTTCCGGGGACACCGTATGGAAAAAATCACGACACCGGATCTCTGGGTAGGTCGGCGCGCCGTTCGTTGCGACGCGCGTCCTCGCGAACTTGGGGGGCGGGCGCCGCGGGCACCAGGGCAACTGCCGTCCCGGGCGCGGTGGGCTCGCCGCGGGTTTGCCGCGGCGCGGGGCGCAGGGCCTGCCGTGGGTTTGCCGTGGTGTCAGCGTCGTCCACTTGGGCGCGTCGAGAGCAAACGGCGCGGCGACATGCTATCCCTATTCACTTGCCATCACCTTACCTCGGTGCCCGCCTCGAGGATCCCCGCACTCTCTGAGGGCGCATCCCCAGGGTAGGGAACTATGGGTATAAGCTCGAGCTGGTGGAGGACGGCAGGGTGACGCTCAACCTCGAGCTCGCCGCCCTCGAGGGCGCCTGGCAGGGGACCCCCGCGGCCGAGCGGGTGGCCCTCGCGGCGGAGCGGAAGGCCCGGGGCGCGGAGCTCTTCGGGCAGCAGCGGTGGGCCCTGGCCCTGGGCCGCTACGCGGTGGCGCTGGAGGTGCTGGGCTCGTGCGAGGAGTGCCAGGGCAGCTCCGCGGCCGCGGAGATCGGAGCAGGGAAAGGTATACCCGTACCGCCGCCCTTCCCTCGCCTTCCCCCTCCTTTGGGCCTCCTGGGAGGCCCTCGTCGCCACCGCTGGATTCGCCTCGAAATTCTGGGCAGACAGCACCCCGGGAGAGGTTCGGGGAGCATCGCGGTATCGGTAGCTCTTGGCTTCCCCAGGAGATCCGCGGCGCTTGCGAGCTGAACCGCGCGGCGTGCCTGCTGAAGCTGGGCGATTTTCAGGGCGCCAGGGCCGCGTGCGACCAGGTGCTGGCCAGCAGCCCGGACCAGCCCAAGGCCGCGGGCGAAGCACGTGCCCGTATCCGCGGCCTTGCGGGCCGGGCCCCGGGGCCGCGACCCCGCGGACGCGGGGCGCTTTCTGCACGGGTGCCCCCCGCGGGACGCAGTCGTGCGACCACACATCCGCGGGATCGCGCCCCGGAGTCCAGAGCCGCGCGCGCCGCGAGGCCGCGGGCACGGGTACGTGCGCCGCTCGCGACGAGGCTCTGTACAGGCGGGCGAGCGCGGCCTTCGAGCTGTCCGACTACGCCCTCGCGCAGGCGGACCTCGGCAGGCTGCTGCTGGCGGACCCCCAGAACGCGGACGCCCGGCGGCTGCTGGGCAGGGTGCGGGATGCGGCGAGGAGGTACTCGACGGACGCCAAGCGGGCGGCGGCCCGCATGATGGAGCAGCCCTCGCCTGCTGCCCGCGAGGTCCCGGGGACCCAGGAAACCCGCGCGGACTTCCGAACGTGTATGCCGAGAACGTGCTTCTCCCTCTGCCCCTCCCTCGCTCTCGCCCTCTTGGGCCTCCTGGGAGGTCGCCGCGGCTGGATCCGCCCCGAAATCCTGGCCAGAGCGCGCCCTGGGAGAGGTTCGGGGAGTGCTGGCATCGTTACCTCCCGGTTTCCCCAGGCCTCCGAGGTGGGGTCCGCGCAGATGGGATCGGAGAGGATCGCGCCGCATCGCCGACGCGCCGACGCGTCGGATTTCCTCCACGCCGACGGCGCCGAGGCGTCGCCGATGCAGCGCCACCGAGTGGCCGATGCATCGACAGCTTTCGGGTCATAACTCGGCGCTCTGGCGGCCACTCGGGGCGATCCGGGCACCCCGGAACGCCCTCGGCAAGGCGCAGCCGCCGGAAGACACCCTGAGGCTGGAAAGCCGACGAGAACGGGCGAAAGCGTTCGAACCCATTTGGGGCCCCCCAATTGGGGGGCCTCAGAGGGTTCGTGGGCGAGACGAATATCCGTATCCGCAGCCTCGCGGGCCGAGCCCCCGGGCAGCGACCCCGCGGATGCGGGGCGCTTTTTCATGGATGCCCCGCGCGCGGAACGCATCCTTGCGACTGCGTATCCGCGGGATCGCGCCCCAGAATCCAGACCGCGAGGGCGCGAATGCGGATCCGAGCTGCCCTGACACGCCCGCGCTGAGGCGCAGCACGCACCGTGTGCGAAACGTCCGTGTCAACACGTTGCGTCTCGGTTCGGCACGCGCTGGTCCACGTTTTGGCCAGCGTATCGCGCCAGACCTACGGAGGAGGGAGAGGAGAGAGGAGGAGGAAGGAGGAGAGAGGAGAGAGGAGAGAGGAGGAGAAGGAGGAGGAGGAGGAGGAGGAGGAGGAGGAGGAGAAGGAGGAGGAGGAGGAGGAGGAGGAGGAGGAGGAGGAGGAGGAGGAGGAGGAGGAGGAGGAGGAGGAGGAGGAGGAGGAGGAGGAGCTCAGTCTACAGCCAAGACGCTTCAAAGGAGGACCACGTCGGGCTTAGGAGGGGGCTCTGGACTTCGGGCCGCTCCCTGCCCAGGTCCAGGGCGGGGACCTGCTCGTGGCCGAGGCCCGCCGTGGCCCACAAGAAGCCCCCTCGTTGCCCATGTTCGGCCCTCCCCGTGGTAGCACGAGGATCAGGAGGGGAAACTCTAGGCCTCCTAGATGGGGTCGGAGCAGATGGGGTCGGAGGATCGCGCCGCATCGCCGATGCATCGCCGATGCGGCTCGATGTGCAGCCCGATTTGCGTCACGTCGACGTCGCCGATGCGTCGACAACGTCGACGATGCATCGCCGGTGCATCGCCGATGCATCGACGATGTATCGCCGATGTATCAACGATGCGGCGCGATCCTCCGACCCCATCTACTCCGACCCCATCTAGGAGGCCTCTAGGAAACACACACAGGCACAATGAATCGTCGATCCCCAAGACAATACGGGAAACTATGGGAACTGGGCGGGAAGAGAAACACCCAGAAACCAGGAGAAACTATGGGGAATTGTTTTATCTGTGTGTGTGTGTGTTTATTTGTGTCCTTGGGTCTCTTTTAGAGGACTGTGCGTGTGGAGCTCCGTGTCCACGTGCTGCGTGCTGCGCGTCGGGGCAGCTGCTGCTCGTGTCAAGTCGGGCGTGCCCCTCTACGGGAGGAGCATCCAACGATCGTCAAAAATAGTATGAGGACGGTGTCAAAAAATAGTAGTGTCCCCATGCTATGATAGTCAACACCGTCCCCAGGTGATAGTCCCCATACTGTGGGATAGTACCCATACTATGATAGTATTGTCCCCATACTAGTATTGTCCCCATACACTGGACGGTATCTAGGAGTAGCATCCAACGATAGTCAACAAATCGTATTGTTGGGCATTTTTTGATCATTAGACAAACATTGAATCGCTTCGCTCATTCCGCCGGCCCATGTAGCCTCATCTCTGCCGTTTGCCCGCGGGATCGTTGTCAATGCAGCGCTGCTGGGGTCTCATGGCAGTCGTTTCGGGAGTCTCTTGGAGGCAGTTGTGACGCCTCTTGGGGTCTCTCGGGGGCCGTTTGGGGGCCCTGGGGGGTTATTTTTTGACATTTGGGAGGAGGAAGAAGCGGATGAGGAGGAAGCGGAGAATGATAAGGAACAGGAGGAGGAGGAGGAGGAGGAGGAGGAGGAGGAGGAGGAGGAGGAGGGAGGAGGAGGAGGAGGAGGGGAGGGGAGGAGGGAGGGGGAGGGGGAGGGGGAGGGGGAGGAGGAGTCTCTGGATGGCGTGTTGTGGCACGATTGGAGTCGATGAAGGTCATCGTCAAGAAGCTTTTGTGGGAGGCTTCGTGGGGCTGCGTGGTTGTGTGGGTCTGAGGCCACTCGGATGGCTGATGGGATCTCGTGGGAGGCTTCTCGGGAGCGTCTGGAGTGCAGTGTTTGAGCCTCTTGGGGGCCTCCAGGGTCCGCTTGGGGGCCTCTTGGAGCCTCTTGGGGCCTTTTCGGGGCTGAAGGCTCGATCGCGTTCCCCCTCCTGGGCGCCTCTTGGGCCGTCTTGTTGGCTCCTTGGGCTGTTTTGGGCGCCTCCTGGTCCCCTCTTGGGGCTGTCCTGGGCGCCTCTTGGGCCGTCTTGGGGCCCTCTTCGGCCGTGTTCGGCCCATCTTGGGGGTCTGTTGGGCCGTCTTGGGGCGATCCTGGGGGTCTCTTGGGCAGTATTGGACGCTCTGAGCCCCCAAGAGTCGCAAATGCGAAACATGCGCGTTTTCGTAAGGAAATGAAGCGTTTTTGGGTTGTTAAGACTCTCTTGGACGGCCTCTTGAGGCTCTCTTGGGGCTTCTTGGCGGCGGCTTGGGCCGTCTGGAGGCCATCTTGGGCGTCTTGGAACGATCGTGCGACGACCCAGGGCCTTTCGGACGGTTTCGGGCGCGTCTCGGGGCTCTCTTGGGGCGTTCTTGGGGCGCACTGGAAAGCCTGGAAGGCAGCGCCGAGGAGGAAAACCATCTCTGGGACCCACTTGGCCGGGGCCTGCTCGGGGTACTTTTCGCCCAGAGGCCCCCAGGGGCTGCCCCGCGCGCGGGAACTAGAAGACTATTAACCAGTTACCGGAGATCTTAGCACGCCTCTGGCCCGTTGGGCCAGCGTTTTTTTGTGGCCAAAATTCGCCTGTAGGAGGACACTCCCGACCTGATGTCGGCGTCACCCCAACACACTTCTACTATATGTGCCTCGCCCCTCATGGGCGGTGCGCGCACCGAGCAATCTCATAGCATATGCGTCGTGGCGGGCGCTTTCTGACCACACCGCTCGGGAAACGACATAACTACTACACTTACTACAAGATGGGTATGCTATATGTTCGGGTCGGACGCGCGCCTATCCAAGGAGGACATCTCGTATTAGTATGTCCCTGTGCGTCCCATGAGGCGGCGGCCCCGGCGGCGGCCCCGGCGGCGGCCCCGACGGCGGCCCCGGCGGCGGTCCCGCGGCGCCGCGGCGGCGGGCTGCTGGCGCGGCTGCCCCTGCTGTGCTGCCGCGGGGGCTGAGCCTGCCGCTCGGGGGGGGAAGGCGCCGGGGACCGGCCGGGACCGCGGTTCCCGAGGAAGGACAAGCAGCCAAGGAGGAGGAGGAGCAGCCAAAGCGGCCTCCTCCTCCTATCCCCCAGAGGCATACGGCATCTACAAGGAACCCATCCCTGAGACCCCTGGACGTCCACTGGTTTTCGGTGTGGGAGCGTCACGCTTTCCGTGGCAAAACCATACAGGGGGAAAAAAACAAGAAACCCAGAGCACCCTGGAGGCAAGCAGGGTGTTTCTTGGCATGGGTCTCCACTGGAAACAGACACTTTTGGTGCTCCACGTGGATTCCTCGGATCCGCGCTCGGCCTTCCCGGCGGCGCCTCTGGCGCCGCCCCCGGCGCGCTCCGCGCGCCAGGCAGAGGAGGGTCCGGCGCGGATCCAAGGGAGCGCCAGAAAGTTATGTTAATGTGTTTGTTTCCTTATTCTAGGGGGGAAGTAAGAAGGGGCGGGTCTTCTCAGAAGGCTCGGAAGTCCCCCGGCCGTCTCAGAAGTTTTCGAAGCATTACCCCCGAAGGCACAGAAGACGTCTCAGAAGGCGTGAGGGTTTCTGGGAAGCCCCGTCGCCTTCTGAGAAGGCCTTATCCTTCTCACTTCCCCCCTCGCTCGCCGCCGAACGATGCCGCGGGATCTTGTCCATGCCGATCTTGGTCATGATCTGCGTCGGCCGTCGCCGAGTCGCGAGGATGATCTGCGGAAGGACGCTGACCAAGATCGACGGTGGCCAAAATTAGGGGAACAAAAAGTGGCATAAACATAACAAACTCTGGGGTCCGCGCGGATTTCTCGGATCGGCGCTGGACCCCCCTCCATGGCGCGTGGAGCGCGCCAGGGGCGGCGCTGGAGGCGCCGCCGGGGGGCCCCAGCGCCGATCCGAGAAATCCGCGCGGACCTCCGAGTCTTTATGTTTATGCCACTTGTTGTTCCCCTAAAGATCGACGGTGGCCAAGATGGGCACGACGTTGCCGCGTTCGGTCCTGGTCATGTTCCCCGTGCTCTTCCCCTCCAGAGCCTGCCGCGGGGGCTGCCGGGCTGCCCGCGGGGCGCGGGCCGCGTGTCCGAGGGCCTCGCCGAGCTGCTGCGCCCCGCTCTTCGGCGGCACGTGCGAGAGACACCCCTCGCCGGAGTGACCCTGGGTGCTGGCTCGGGCCGAACAGATACATGGGCGCCTCCTGGCGCCGGGGGGCGCCGGGAAAATCAGCTACGAGAGCTGATTCTCACCCACCCCCTTTGCTATCCCCCCCTTTCGCCCGGCCCGACTGGCCCATTGGGGTCCCCCGATCGCCGACATCCGCCGGGTGCGATGCGGTAGCAGCGGCTTGCGCGCCTGGATTCGGCCCCCTGGCGGCCCCCTGAAGCCACGCACCGAAGGCCACTCTTGCCTGGGGTCACTCTTGTGTAGAGCCGACCTCCAGACCTTTGGGATGGGGTCCGAGTAGAGGGGATCGCGGGATCGCGCCGCATCGCCGATGCATCGGCAATGCGGCTCGGTGTGGATTCCGATTTTCTCGTCGTCGACGTCGCCAGTGCATCGCCGATGCATTGGTGGTGCATCGACGATGCAGCGTGATCCTCCGATCCCATCTGCTCCGACCCTGTTTGGGAGGCCTCTGGAGCGGCTTCGCCTCCCAGACGTAATTCGGGCCTGTCCCTCTACAGGAGGAGTATTCGAAGATGGTCCAAAAATAGTCTGGGGACGATTGCTTGACTAGTTTCTAATACTCTTGAATATTTTTTGACTTTAAAAAGAACCCTCCAAAATCTGCCTGTAGGGGTACATGCCCGACCTAATCCCAGACGTCCTCTGCCCGCGCTCGGAGCAGGGGCAGCGTGAGGGGTGGACAGGCGGATGGGGCTAGGCGACGTTCGAGGCTCGAGGTTTTCGGGCGTCTTCTGCCGGTCCTCGGCGGTCTTCCAGTGTCGGGGTGCTGTCCAGCAGCTGCGTCTCGGCCAGAGCGTTCCGGGGGTGCCTGGAGATCGTCCCGAACGGCGGCCGACGGGAACCTGAATTTTTACCCGACCGCCTGACGACGAGGATCACCAGGGTCCAAGATTGGCTCATCAGGGTGGAACGTATCGACCCCCAATCGCCCGTTGATAGCCGAAAGGGGTCCGATTGCCACCCCGCCCAGGCGCGCGGTCTCGCTATCGGGGGGCCATCGCTGATCTATCGGCGATGTATCGCCGATTCAAGTTCGATGTTTCCCCCCCTGGGCTGGTCCCCCCCACACATTCTCCCTCATTGGAGGGGCCCGTCGTTTGGCCAGGCGGCAAGGGGTCAAGGAGTTCGACGGAGGAGTTCGGTATATGGGCGATTCAGCGCCCCACGGGTCGGGAAGCCAGGGCGTCTGCACACCGGGCTCCTTGGCCAACCCGGCGACTGAATCAGTCGGGCGGGTGGTCACGGGGGGCGTCTACACAGGGGTGAAGAATGGGGCCCCTTCCGGGTCTCTGTCTCCACCCCCCATGCAGGTCACACCCCTGACCAACCGCTCGAACCAGGCGGCTTAGTCAGGTTCCTGCTTCGAGCCCCTCGCGCCCGCTGCCCCGGACTCCACGGCTCCACCTCAGCCCCGCCTCCGCGGCTACCTGCCCCGCTCCGGCTCCCGCTCTGCACCCCGTGCCGCTCTTGCTCGGGCTCCTGCCTTCCGCCTGCTCCCGCCCGTGCTGTTCCAGCTCCACCTTCAGGGGCAACCACAGGGGGGGATAGGCATAAGGAGGGATGCATCGACCCCCAATCGCCCATCCATCGCCGATAGGGGCCCGATAGCCCCAACCTGCCCATGAAGGTGTGGATTCACCCTCGGAGGCCTGTCGCCGATCAATCGGCGATGTATCGCCGATTCCAGGTCGATGCATCCCCCCCTATGCCAGTCCCCGCCTATCGTTGCCCCTCGCACCGCCTTCCCCAGCTCCGCCTCCCCAGCTCGTGGCGCGCCAGCTCCAGGCCCAGACCTGCAGGTTGTCCTCCATTTTCGGCCCCTGGGGCCCTCACCAGGCCCTGGGACCGTCAAGAAACGACCCTGGATGAAAAGCTGGCCCTGGGGTTGTGCTGTTCCCATCGTACTTCAGGACCACGTCCCAGAAACAATTTCGAGCAGCCAGAGAAGTATCAAAAGAGTGTCGAGCGAGTATCGCCTCCCAGGCCCGACATGTGAAAACTCTCCAGTTTCGTTACTGTCTTAGTGCTCGAAACCATTTTTGGTGATCAAGGCTAAAGTAGGTTGGATCATCGTAACCCTTGGGAAAGGCTCGGGACTTTTGGGGACCGCCTGCTGGAAACATCAAGACATGGCACGGTCTGGGAGGATACCCTTTTGTTCGCCCCTGGGGGGATGGGCCAGCCACGTCGCGATTCGCTTTGGAACGCCGTCTGGGAATGCTTAGGGATGGCTCCTTCCCAGGCGGTGCCAGCGCGAGTCGTGGCGTGTGGAGTACCCCTCCCAAGGCTCGCTCCCTGATTTTTGTTATCAGGGAAAGTCTTCCTCCTAAAACTGTGCTGTTGCCCCCCCAGATTACAACAACAACAACAACAACAACAGCAGCAGCAGCAACAACAACAACAACGGCTCCCGCCTGAGATTTCCTCACAAGTTAGCCAGGACTCCCGCTTTCGCCTGAGACTTCCCTGCGTTTTATTCAGGCATCGCGTTCTCGCTTGGGACTTCCTTACAATGTATTTAGGAATCGCTATCTCGGCGGTCTGGAGTCGTGCTCTCGCCGGATATTTGCTGGAAGTGTACTTAAGGAAAGCGCCCTTGCGTGGGAATTGCCCGCAATTTGCTCAAGCGCCGCGCTCCCGACACTCAGGCACCCAGGAGTCGCGCTCACGCCTAGGACTCCCGCACAGATTATTGAGGAATCGGGATCTCGCTGCCCTTCGTGGCCCCGTTGCAGCCCTTTGTGGCCCCCTCGCTGCCCTTCGTGGCCCCGTTGCAGTTCTTCGTGGCCCCCTCGCTGCCCTTCGTGGCCCCGTTGCGGCCCTTCGTGGCCCCCTCGGTGCTTTTCGTGGCCCCGTTGCAGCCCTTCGTGGTCCCCTCGGTGCCCTTCGTGGCCCCGTTGCAGCCCTTCGTGGCCCCCTCGCTGCCCTTCGTGTCTCTGTTGCAGCCCTTCGTGGCCCCCTCGCTGCCCTTCGTGTCCCTGTTGCAGCCCTTGGTGGCCCCCTCGCTGCCCTTCGTGGCCCCCTTGCAGCCCTTCGTGGCCCCCTCGCTGCCCTTCGTGGCCCCCTCGCTGCCCTTCGTGGTCCCCTCGGTGCCCTTCGTGGCCCCGTTGCAGCCCTTCCTGGTCCCCTCGCTGCCCTTCGTGGCCGCGTTGCAGCCCTTCGTGGCCCCCTCGCTGCCCTTCGTGGCCCCATATATGTATGCCCTGCGTGGCCCCGGCCCCCGCTCGTTCGCGCCCGTCGTGGCCCCATAATTCGTGCCCTTCGTGGCTCCGCTGTCGCCCTTCGTGGCCCCCTTGCTGCCCTTCGTGGCCCCGTTACTGCCCTCAGTGGCCCCGTCCTTGCCTTCCGCGGCCCAACTTACGTATGCCCTTCGTGGCCCCCGCTCGTTCGCGCCCGTCGTGGCCCCATGTGCATGCCCTTCGTGGCCCCGCTGTCGCCCCTTTGTGGCCCCCACGCTGTCCTACGTGGCCCAGTTGCTACCCTCAGTGGCCCCGTCGTTGCCTTCTGTGGCCCCGTATTATCTGCCCTTCGTGGCCCCCGCTCGTTCGCGCTCTTCGTGGCCCCCACACGCATTCCCTTCGTGTCCCCGCTATCGCCCTTCGTGGCCTACTTCGTGCCCTTCGTGGCCCTGCTGTCGTTCTCTCTTTTTCGCTCTCGCTTTCGCTCGCCGTCGCCGTCGCCGTGGTCGACGTCGTCGTCGTCGTCGTCGTGGTCGGTCCCCTGTCCGTCCCTCTTGGGGTCGGGTTGCCGTCGATCAACGCTGCCGCTGGCCAGGCCGACGGTCCGCGGCCGCCCCGCCGCTTGCCGG